TCATAAATTCTTACCTGATAAGATGTTTCTTTCTCGCTGTTTACAGCTTCTGTTTAAATGATGGAATTCAAACACATGAAGATGAACGACATCACCAGTCATAAACTCCAACCTTCCCGACTAAGACTCACACCTGACCTGGGGTTTGTACGCAAAGTGCCTACACAGCGTTGACTCCATAAACTGCAATGTACTTATTCCCTTCAGTCTAACAAAAGTTAGTTGTTCACAGACCTACGATTCTCAACCAAAGCTTGCCGAATACTGAAAGTAGAGGCCAATAAAAGGTCAGGGGCTGATATTGTGCTGAAATCTACGCATGCAAATTGTACGACTCAGACGTGTGTGACAGTGATTGAGGAAACTAGGCAAAAGTCAATATACGCTGGAAAACTATGATGACTGCATGCGCGTGTTGTAAAGCAGGGCCACTATGTAACATGTACAAAATGGCATTGGTGTAGCTGAATAATTATGTACTTCAGTTAGACATGGTATGAGGAAAGTCTGACAATTATAGCAATGCCGTTATGACGTATCATACTCTGTTACTATGCAATTCTCCAAATTATTCAATTTTGGAAACCAACAACATTGGCTGGCTGTCGTGGATGGGATGGCGTGATCTCAAAGTAACGTCATGGAGACATATAGGCCTAATCTATTAGATTTCGCACATTATATTCTGGTAGCGCTCTCCATGCATGGGCGATAACACTTAAACAGCGTCTTTTCCTGAAGTTCATTTCATTTGATACATTTGTGGATTCTAAAAATTGAAAAGATTCATTGACTGTTAGTTCTGTTTGGCAGGACGCAATCAAAAACATGACTTTAATGCATATATTGGCTTTCATGATTAGACAACTTATAAAATGCAGATATTATGTCACTTTGCAATTCGAACAATTTGAATCAAGACTAGACATGGCTTAATATGATCAATGTTATTCCTTAACAACAAGCCATTTGCGAGTTAAATTTTAATACAATCTGGAAAGCTGACTTAATTCAATGCTTTACACGTTTTAACTTTGCATTCTCCCGACCTAAGAGACTGTTACGTACTATATATCTAATATCACGTGATTCGGGGCAAGCCTTATGCTAGCAATCCCCAACTCCAGCATGGTCTGGTGACTTTTTGTGTGTGCTATTTTCACCCACTGTGAACAATGTATTGATGCTGTGTTGACAATTTGCACATAAGCAGTGCGTTCGATTACTTCCCCCAGCTTACTCGCGCCTGACTCCTCGGGTAATGACAGACATGTGCAGTGGAGCTAAATAAACGAATGGTTTTGGGTAAAGTTCCGTGCAAGAGCTGGAAACATGGGCGTCGCCCAGATTTTTTTCTATAGGGGGGCAAAACATATTTTTTTTCTCGATTCTCGATAACTTTTTCTCGATTTATCAGTTTTAAAGGGGGTAGGGACATTTTGCCCCCCCCCCCCCATTTAATTTACACCAATATGACTTCTCGCCTTTTTTCTCTTTTTTTTTTTTTTCTTCCTTTTTTGGGGGGGCTTTTCGGGGGGGGGGAATGTTGCAATTAAGCTGACGCCACTTTTCATTTATTGCAAAAAATATAAATGATGATAAGACATGAATCTGGGACTGAGAAATATTTCCATTGTTGTTAGGAAAAAAAATGGCTTGACTCTCCCTAGACGTTGTACACAGTCGTGGAGTGGCGTTAGGTTGCAACATTTGTCCGAACTCCCAGGCTAGCTGCATCCGAATCCATAGAGAGCACGTCCACGCCCAGTGAAAATACGCGGGGACGCACTGACAATAATTCGTAGCCGTAGCTCCGTGCATAGAGCTACACAGGGTTTGTAGCTCTATGCTCCGTAGAAGCCCGTTTTCGGACACGGCCTGAGGCGCCTGCCGGAGGTTGCATGGCCTTATGGGATACTTACCCAAGTAACCGGCTCGGCGAGTCGGTCACATGGGCCAGGCTCGAGTAAGCGCGAGAAGTCACGTGGGAGGTAAATCCAACGCTGTCGCGCTTGCACGAGTAAGCGCGGGGGAAGTAATCGAACGCACTGAAGGCTTTTGTGTGACGTCATTGCCATCACATTGGTGGCGCCCTTCTTTGCCACAACTCTCGTTTACCGATTTCCGTGCATTCGCTGGATTTGTGGTTCGTGATATAATGCGAATGTCACTGAAAACGAACAAATTATTATTTGATTAGACGTTAACGGAATGGTTATGATAGTCTGGTTCCCAGACCAAAAGATGCTGTTCTTCAGACTATTTCTGGTGATTCTTAGGTCAGCAAAAAGGCCACGGCACGTGACCGAAGCGGGAGGAATGCCGACTGTTTCCGAAAATGTCCGAAGTTTGCCAAACGCATTTCGTCGACAATCTCGGATACTGCCGGAGTAGAAATTGCCTCAGATCGCACCACAGAGCATCTAGAATGTAACAAAATTGTTGGGGCCCTAGAGCGGGTCCTGAACCCCACGGTGGAAGTTTTTTGACCCATTCTTTAGTGGACCAACATTGTTTGCCCACCCCCCCCCCCAAAAAAAAAACCAATGTGTTCTGAATCCGCCCTTGCAGAGTTCGAGGTTTCGACTCCTCCCCCAATATCTCCTTCCCCCAAAAAAACCCAAATCCCCGAAAATCCCCATATAGAACTAGACATGCAGCACTTCATCACATTACGACACTAGCAGCAAAACAAATGACATAATTGCAAAGCAATTGATAATCAAATCTCAGGATTAATTTATTTTAATGCATTCCTTAGGATGGCTACAAACAAGCAACCAACAACTATCAACTAGCAACTTATTTGAAACATTTCTTTTTGCTAACCATCAATCTGAGGCAAACATTGCTTCAATCACAGCCATGCTTCAATTAAGTCAAATTTCATGGCAGCTGATGGTTGGCTAGATGATAGATCATCTAATTCTACCTCCTTGGCTATATACAAGCTAACTGTTAATTAATATCATTTATACAATTCGCAACTATGCTATTGCAAGACGCCAAATTAAGTTCATGTATTTTATTATTTACGCCATCCAACTTCTGCACGTATCAGGACGAGTAAAGAGTATTTGTTTAATTCAACAGCAGTTTCAACGTGCAAGATGTAAATTGTAAAGAGTGATCCATCAAATTAATCCAGTTTCAACAAGGACAAATCTGAAAGTTAGGCGGGAATATTAAAGCAACAAACGAATACAGCAAAAGCAAAAAGAAATACCAATAATATATGTTATAATAAGTAATAAAATACTAACACTAATAATTATTAGTTTCACTAATAATTAGGCACAATCATACATATACTAAGTACAATCAACAAATTGTGATATTTTAGTCAAGCAACGGGGTGAATTCAAGCTTAATTGGAAGAACATACACTATGCATCATTCAATTTCAACTTTAGAATGGGTGGGTTAAGAGATGTATGAAAACAAACGGAAATTAATCAGCAATATATACAAGATTGTAACTAACCCGTGAATAACTGTGCAGTTCATCCACAACGAACTTCGTGACAAGGGATATTGAAGTGACATTCTTATTAGCAAAATATATTGAACAAATTCGTTGTTTATTCTTGGCACATGCATGCTATGAACAAGCAAAACTCGTTTATTTGTAAAGCGGTGTTTATGATCGATTCTGATTGAACAACTCTACACTTTAACAAACTATGACAAATATGTTGAAGGTTTGGAACAAATATCTACGTCACATACTGACTCCTTTTCTAAGGTAAACATGATTCAGCGAAAGAGATTGTCAATTTCTCATTAAATATGAATGGTGAAGGAAAATGTTCTTGAAGAAACGAATAGGCGTAAGAATGTGACCAAACAAATATGGAACATTCAATCCAAAATAATGGTCAGACTATAATAAAATCCATTTAAAATCAATGACGTATCAAAAATAAACCCAAACAATTATATTACGTATAATCTATAAGGAATGTCACCATAAGTATTTTATATTAATATCAACAGAGGTTATTCTATAAAGCTTAAACTGGATGTGGTTTGATTTTTATTGTTGATTGAGAAACATTCTATGATCTAATTATACATTGTCTTCATTTTCGACAGTATTAAAATAACGTATAACATTTTGTGAAACATCAAAGTGAAACACAGCTTCGTTAAAATACACGTGGCTAAGGGAAAGATTGTGTCATTTTTCACAAATCCAGAAAAATTACAAATTACATTACAACAATTACATTGTATGCATAAAATCATTCGTTAAGTAACGTCAATGATCAACTGCATATCGAAAACTTTTTCACTGATTATGAAACTGTAATTCACTACATAATTAGCTGCGTTATTTTCCGTAAATAATAGGAATGTGGCCGAAAATGAATTTAAAAACAAGAACGAACTACAAAAACCAAGAATTCGCAAAAAGCAAGGCAAAAAATGTAACAGGAAATGAACAGAAAAAAATAATCACAAACAAATAGTGAGTAAATGGTACATAAACCACCATAACAAGGCTAATTTACTTATAATTATTTATCTCTTTATAAGATTGATAATACAAGGTCGATACACCGGTGAGTGAATGCAAGTCAGATTGATGCAGTGCTGATTTTCTGACCTGGCACCTGTGTGAGCCAGGTTCCAATCCCACCCAGGCTTTCTACTCCCAGTATAGTATAGCGCCATGAGAGTCGCTGCGTGATGGACCTTAGCGCTTTTGAGAGGTCACTATTTTTTTTATTATTATTATATGTGGTTTATAATAAGGTTTCAACATTATCTTATTATATTGGGGTTTCCGCAGAACTTTCTTGTTCGTGTTTATACGGGCCTCTAGGTCCGACCTTGTTTCTTTCTTTATTTGCTGCAGGCTTTTGAGCTGATCAAAAAACAAAAACAAAAAAAGGAGAAGGAAACGATTGAAAAAAATGGACTTGTAGAATCATAGACCGTCTTCAACAGTTTGTTCACATCCAGAAGGTGATATGTCAGTCAGCGTCATGTTGGCATCACACCTTGCGATATATCTTTACTGAATTGAAGTCAGCCACTGCCAGCTGCTGCCCATCGGCTGTGAATGTGATTCCACAGGGGCTGAACAGCCCCTGGGCCACACAGCTGACAAACTGACCTGCACAGTTATAGTGGTGTATGTGACCGGTGTTGACGTACCCTCTGACCACTGCGAGGTAGATACCCGAGCTGTTGCTGCATACACCCCCGCAGCGTTTCACTGGTTTACCGTCGATGGTTGGTTGGATTGTGGCGACTTCGGCAGCTTTGCCATCAGACACATCCACTATGCCCGCTAGTCCCTGTTCCCAGTCACTGATCACAATCCTACCATTGTTCAGTACAGCCAAGTAGTCAGGTTGTAGACTCACTGGTATGGTGCGTATGAGTTTGCCTTTGCTACCCGGCTGATGCTCAGTCAACACCTTCCTCGAGTCATCCCCCGCTATGATGTTACCATTGTCCAGGAGTACTAAACTCACGACGTGGACGGTTGTCTTACCAGCTTCTCTATCAATTGTTCTGAACTCATAGGCTAGCGTCCTGTCTCTTTTGTACACCTTGAGGACCGACAAGCTTGAGACCACCCACCCATCCGACAGAGCCTTTACGTCGTCTGGAAAAAAAGAATATTGTTTTGTATATGTTTTGTCTTAAATCTTCATGTATACTTTTGTGTATTTAATTTCATTGTTTGTTGTAACAACTGCATCCCGAAAAAAAAAATGAAAAATATGAAATGAAATGAAGCATTGATCAGCCTAAAAGGGGGTTCTATAATTCAAAGTGAACAATTCCATGAACTCATTTGGTTTCCCATCCATGACTATCATTCTGAAACTGGTCAATATGTTCAGATAAATTGAAAGGGGAAACGAAATTATATATAAGTGTTGATGGCAGCTTTCAGAGTAACATATCATCACCGCTTCACTAAAAAGCTCAAAATGCATTGGTTTGTGTATGGTGTGTGCGTGTGCTTGAATCATCAGTTTCTCAAGTCGATCGTTCAGGAACCTGGCGCTCATTGTGAAGCAGGCGATAGGCCTCGGCGCCGCTGCCTCGCCGGGTACTCGTATACGCAGACCTCATTTGTATGCGTGTATTGCACTCAGTGCGTGTATTACATTGGTAAAAAATCACATAATGAATCATTCCTTTTCACTCATGCGATAACATTATTAAGATAATTTTCGTAATACGAGTACATATTACATGCATACATTACATGCATACATGCATACGTTAAGAACAAGGCTTTCCCTCGACATGAAATGCGTTTTAGTCGATTGACTTACCTGAAATGACGGAAATGGAGCCCTTGGTTTTTCCCTGTTTGTCACAAATGACAACTCGCTTGTTCTTCCAGTCAGCCACCACAATCTCGTCAGGGTCAGCTGCAGCTGCAATGCCTCTGGCTGCTTCAAACTCCCCTTCACCTTGTCCTTGTTTCCCGAACGATTGGCACATGTCCCACGTGTCTTCCACCATCACCTTGCCCAGATCAATGTCAAGCTTCTGACTCTTAACGAACACGGGATGCGACTTCAAGCCCGCAGCCTTGGGAGCCGGTTGGCCTATGAGCTTGTCCATGTCGTTCTTAATTACGGGATAGAGGGAAAGGAAATCCGAGTCTGATGCATTACTCGACACCTCTTGGCTTGTCTTCAGAGAATGCTTCTTTCTCAGCAGCATGTTTTTCAGTGATTTCTCGTGCTCATCCAGTCGCTTATTTTGCTCCTGTGCCTGGTTTGTGATCTCATCAAGAAGTTTTTTCTCTTCAGCTTTGATCTTCGCTATGACCGCTATGACCTCAGCAGTTCTGTCTTGCACCCCCTTTCGAGCCTTTGCCGTCTTGACATTGACCATCTTCTTTGCTGCAGTTGTTTCCCGCAGGGACGCGTCAAGGTCTTGTATGTCTCTGTCCAAAGCAGGAAAGTATTTCTTTAGAGACTCTCTGTATTCTCTTGAAGCCGTTCCAGTGCCAGTGACGTCATGTGTGGCAGTTTGATGATCTACAACAGTACAGCCTTGGCAGATCAGCTCATCACATGTCTTGCAATAGAATTTCTTCACGCCCTCGTGTTCGTGGCATGTGTACTCGTCCGGTTGTTTAGTTACCGTCACCTTCCCCTGACGAATGTCATCAAAACTGGCTATTTTGTGTGTCTTTAATGTGGGAAATTGCTGGTGTGTCTTACAGCAATCCTTGCAAATATTCCTCTCACAATCCATGCAGCGATCTTTGGCATCATTTCCCTTGTCACACACCTGACAGAGAAGCTTTGCTTCAGCTGAACATGATACCTTTTCCTGTAATTCAAATTCCTCAATCAGACTGGCCAAATGAAAGTTGGACTTGAGGCCCTGTATGCCAGACTTTGGAAGTATTGTCTCTTGACGACATACAGGGCAAGGGATGTTTGTTGCTCTCGGGGACATGCCATCGCGGTATTTGACTAGACATTCCCCGCAGAAAGTGTGCTGGCAGTCAAGTAGTTTTGGCTGTTTGAATCGGTCTGTGCAGATACTGCACTCGAGATGTTTTGCGCTTATCTCTTGCAACGTTGAACGTACCGATGATCCGGTAGCCATCTCTAATCGAAAAAACAACAACATGGAATTAAAATAAGGGCAATACATATTGCCAATCAAATACTATGTTCTATTTGATATGCTGGGGAGGGTTTAATTCAGTTGGGTGTGTCGGGTCGGGTTGGTTTGGTTTGGTTTGGTTGGGTTTGGGCTGGGTCGGGTTGGGTCAAGCTGAGCTGGGCTGGGCTTGGCTAAGCTTGGGTGGGCAGGCATTTGGTTCGGTTTAATTGGATTGTGTAGGTTGAGTTGGGTCGAGTCGGATTTGACGGGTTTGGGTCGGTGGTGTTAAATTTGGTTCACCTGGGGAGATTTTGTCGGAGTAAGGTTCGGTTCTGTTCCGGTCGGTTCGGTCCAGTTTGACAAAACGAGAAGTTATTGTCATAGCTTGAGCGATTTGATGTTGAACATTATGGGAAGTTGCGCCCAGAAGGGGTTGCTGGGTAACAAAATGATACCGCTCGACTAATAAGTAACCTGATGCATTTGCAGATAATCTGTTTTGAAGTGGTTTGTTTGTGACTTCGTTGTATTTACTCTGTAAACTGGATGCACTTGAATGTGTATTTTGGACCTTGAATGTGTAGTTTGGTGTCTAAATTTTGTACAGCTTGAGATAGTTCAGTAATGACTAATTATCTAAATCTTGGTTACTTTTGACGCCGATCTTTTTTTTTCTTGTATTCTCTTGTTTTTTTTCTTTGTATGTGATGGGAATGTTTATACACAGATTTAAAAGTTTCGTGCAGACTATATACCGTATGACTCACAAATAATAATACTTATTTCTCAATAGTGTGTAAAATAACGACATTTTCGAGAATAAAAAGTTAACAGGGTCGTCCCCTTGTGTGAATATTTAAGTTACAAAACAGCTGGTTTGTAGAAAAGTACTCATTTCGGTGTCACTTTTTACCCATAATTCGTCACCGTTTTCACGAATAGCCACATATGTGGATTTTGAAGAAAAAGCGTTTTCGAGATAATCGCAAAAGAAGTTTCTCGTATTTTAAAACTGCACAAAATACCACTTTGCAACAACTTTGTGCAGCAAGGAAACCATCACACGATTCTACGAGAGCTGAATTTTTACATGAGCCCAGTAATAAGACTTAATATAGCAGTTAATTAGTGAAAATTAATTAGTAAAGATATGTGGCTCTTTGTGAAAACGCAAATTCAGGTTTCCGACATATTGGCCCTTTCTGTTCAACGTGTATTTCCATAGGCGCGCGTGAGCACGCGCGCGTACCTGAAAATGTAACAAAGATATGTGGCTCTTTATGAAAACGCAAATCTCATTTGACCTACTTTTACGTATTTCCGTGCAATGGGTTTTGTACGCGTTCAAAGGGCCAAAATGTATGTGGCTCTTCGTGAAAACTCAAAATTCATTTATCGAGATTTTGGCCCCTTGCAACATTAATGTTACTTGGAAATTAATGATGCTTTGCTTACAGAGACATGTCAACAAGGTTAAGTACATTGTTTTAAAGCAAAATATTGAAAAAAATCAAAAACGGAAAAATGGTAATTTTGGACATATGTGGCTCTTCGTGAAAACGGTGACGAATTGTGTGGCATATTTTTTGCACAAAGAAAGTGTGTAATAAGTTTACCCACTTGACAACCATGTCCGCTATTTGTTCTCTTTATTCGGTAAACACTAATTTTACCGATGTTTTGTGTCATTTTCGTATATATTGGATGCCAGTTTTAACCATGCGCAATTTTTACCCATCGCTTGGATTGTTTTAAATCAGTTATTGTGCACCCGTGTATATTGGCCCTTGCAGTTTTATTCAACTTTGAACTCTACAATCTGAATTGCCAGAGGCTGTAATCGCGGGGCCTTGGCAAGCGAGGGATTTCAATAACTGAATCCTGGGTTTGAAAGTCATGAAAATGAATACGATGATATTTCCCCCAATATGGTGCTGATGCCTGAGGATTACCATCATGAACTTGGGATTTAATGCCAGATGCGATGGAGTTATAGGGTCTACAACTATTGGGCAGGGGTGTTATAATTTCCGTCAATCAAATCGGTAAAAAATATAATGTCCTAATTGTGCTCATGGACTGTATGATTCCAGAAAGTTAGCTTCATACGGTCAGAATCGCATGGAAACGGGCCTATAGCAGAGCGTGACCTTCATGTTGCAAGCATGACACTTCTCTAAACTCCCAGATATTAATCCTTATAACATCAGCATCCATTGTCAAATGCCACTGGAAGTCATTTCAGTAAGTTGCTGTGAAACATAGAAATAACGGTCTAACAAATCCCCAACTTGTTTAAGTCTCTTAAAACGGCGGCCATCTTGTACATTAGTGAGACGCCTGCACGATGTTGGGTCACGTGCTTCAGTTTACCCTGTACAGTGGTAATATTTTGACTAATTTTGTGGTTAATTGAATTATTCAATGTGTACCTTGAAAATTGATTTGTTTGTATCTTTATTATAACCCATCATATGATGGATATGATATAGGCCTACGCAGGATGTAAAATTAAAGAAAATGTCATTTTGCTCAATATAGAGCAAACTTTACAATATTTGTCTATAGCGATCAGTTTTACACAACACAAATATTGTACTTCTTCTTTATTTCGTGTAGGTGTACAAATGTGAAACATAAATTCATCCATTTAACCTACTTTAATTTCGCACAATTTCTCTCTTATTTCGAAGAGTGAAAATCCACTCCCACCGACTACACTTGAACCATTGCATTCCAGTAAAATGTATTAAATGGAAGTAGGCGTGTTTCAATTGAGCTTCCACTTTATTGATTGGCTTTTTTCTACAGTATTTCAATTAAATGCCCCCATCTGGTCAAAATACATTGTCAACTTACAAGGTTTCATTCTTAAGCTATTATTGTTTAATATCCGTTACAATAGCAACACTGTTTGTATCAGAAATGTTTTACCAAAAGACATCAAACAATGTTCTTACCTCTAACTGATTGCTTGCTGTTTTTGTGAAGGCCTACAACTTCGATGTTTCAATTGCGACAGATTTGGACGAAATGACAACAGTTAATACGCTATTCTGGTGCAAACAAGAAAACTGCGGACCACCTTGCGAGACGATCAGGTGACAATGACGCATTGGATATTATCTTTATATTATAACAACTTGGAGGAGTTTTATCTCACTGCGTAATGTTCAAGTGGCACTCGTGTGCATAACCGTGAAACTATGGACCGCTAAACCTACAAGAGTTCGGTCGACTTTAAGGTTCACACACATGTTAAAAAGTGTTCAAAACGGCATAACCCACAAATTGCAGTCAACAATTAATTTCTGAATGTTGAAGCTAACCTTTTGATTTCAACAGAAAGTTCGTAAAGAAAACTAAAAAAGTTTACATAATTATTTCAAACAATGAATTCAGTACTCTTTATTGTGTGCTAATGAATTCCTCGCTCATCATTTTGAGCTAACAACGCCAAGGAAAAAACGTCTGCGCTAACCCTGTATGCACAGGATTCTCAGTTACGGAATGTACGCATGCGCATAAGCCACGATTCAACGCTAACCCTTGAAGTACGCTTACCGTAAGCAGGGATTTTCGCTAATGGTAAGCGGAGCCTTGAAATTAAGCCCAGGTGCCAATTTCACAGCGCCGTTCAGCACAACAATTTGCTTAGCACAAAAAAGTCTTGCTTATAAAAACTCCATGTGATGTATATTGCTCTGATTAGTATTCAGATGTTGTTTGCTTAGCATGACAATCACATATAGTTTTGGCTGGTAACCTGCTTTTACAAGTGAGCATTTTGTGCTTAGCGGCGCCGTGAAAATGGCCCCTGCACAGATTTGGACGACATGCCACCAGCGACGTTAGTGTACCATCACGAGACGATCACGCGACAATGACGCATTGCCTATTATCTTGGTTTAATCTTAAAATAACCCCCTTGAAGAGCTTTATCTGATGACTGCGCTGTATTCAAGTGGCTCTCTTGAATAACTTTGAAACTTTGGACTTCTAAACCTACAAGGTTCGGTCGACTTCACCTATCACACACATACCGAAAATGAAAATTCGAAATTCGCTGTAAGTTTTACCCAACGCTTCCTGGCGTATTAGAGAAACAACCCAATACAGTAGCAGTATCTGGTAGATCTGATGTGAAATTGAAAAAAAAACTGAGTTTGAGTTAAATGAAAGTGTCCCTGTTTCGTGTCGACTTACATTTAGTCAGGTCAATTTACGACAACACATGCCTTGACCTAGAACAAAATTGCAACAGAATTGTTTTTAACACCCTCACACGAAAATATCACTGATTAACATACTGAAAGTCTAATTAATCTAGGGAGTGAAAAGGTGGTTTGACTTGCCTTTTCTTGACTGATTTTTCGCAACTCGTCAACGAGTAAACTGTCATTTGGACGGTGCCAGGTCAGGTCGTCCCTTCACAACACGCAGGAAACGTCGGGAAACACTTCTGATTCACAACAGACGGCTTTTTCGTGTCGATGCTTCTGAAATTTTTGGGATTTTACCTTGCTGATGGGAAGTTGCCGCGCAAACCATAGGGTACCATTGTCTTTTTTAAATAAAAACGTGGATTTTCTTGTTCCTTCCTAATTGTTATCCACCAACTGACAACATTTTGCCCGTATATATAACAGCTCAGCAAATCATTAATATCTCTATAGGCCTATAATAAATAGAGATCAGTAGATTTAGTCCAATCTTACTTATTTCTTAGTTATTTATCTATTTATTTTTTTAAAACAATGTTTGCTTGTTTGGGGGGAAGCGGTAATCTGAAATCTAGAATTCGTAGAGAAGGTCATTGGCACAACCTAAAATTGTTAGAAACTGTTAAAGGGAACTGTTATAGGATTTGTATGACTTAAATGCATTTAAAACAGCTGTCTAGCCATGTAACTATCACGTTCCACCTAAAAGGGAGAAATTTCAATATACTGGTTTTTATGCTAATGAAAATGTCCATATTCATGAGCCAAAGCGTGATG